GGTGGCTAATAAAGACATGATCAAAACCCTAAAAAGTCTCGAATGAGAGATACCTTATGCATTCAATGCAAAGGATATGGTCATATCAGTCGCGATTATCCGAGTATGAAAAATTTGATAGTCCGAGATGATAGTTCTTATGGGTCTCAACCAGACAAGAACAATGATGAGTATGATGCTAGTAGAATTATAATAGAAGATAGCAATATTTAATCATTAGAAACAAAAGATGCACTTAAAAAGAAAGTGATGACACTTTGTGAGAAGGATGAGGAAACAAAAATAGAAAAAAGTAATGAAAAAGAGCCAAAAAAACAAAAGAGGTCACAACCATAAAAGCCAAAAACATAACCCACGGGAGGTGAATGATCCTACTTGTGAAGAAAAAGAGTGATTCAAAAAATAAATGTGAGCATAAAAGTATTAAGAGTGAACCTTTTTTACAAAAAGGCTTGCAACCTTATTTATTCCAGGAATCAATTGTTTCTATTTCTAACATTAACAAGGATTTGCCTAGTGTGCTTATTTCTCTCTTACAAGATTTTAGAGAAGTGTTAGGTGATCCACTTGACATATTACCATCGGAAAGAGGAAAAAACACCAAACAAATCTAATTCAAGGTTATATCATACCCAAACAAATAAAAAATCACAAAGGAACTAAAGAATTAGATTCGCTGTAAAAAGGCTACATCCGTGAAAACCTTAGTCATTGTGTCATCTCAATGATGAATCATAATTTTTAAGAATTCATAGATAAGTATGTTGTTACTCATTTTAATGATATTATAACAAACTTGTTTTTTTTCATGTTAAGTCACTTTAAGTTCTCATAGATGCCGATAAAGAAAAGGTAAAAGAAATTCAAGAATGGCTCATGCCATCTTCTATCACTGAGAAGTCAGTTGAGTTCAAATGGGGACCACAACAACAACATACATTCAAACTACTCAAAGATATAGACATAGGCACAATACTCAATAAAAAAAGCAACATATACTTACTTTAGCGAGAAGTTTAAAGCTGCAAAACTGAATTACTCCACCTCTGACAAAAAACTACTGACATTAGTTTGTGCACTCGAAGCTTGGCAACACTATCTTCTTCTGAAAGAGTTTGTCATACAACCATACCATGAGTCACTGAAGTGACTAAAAGACCGAGGTAAGTAAAAAATAGTAGAAGATGCACTACCTCGAAGGTATACTCTTACCTATCAAAAGCATACTACTATTATAAGAATTGAACATATCAAAGATGTACATCATGATGACTCATAAATTTTTTATATATATACCCAGTGTTTTAAAATTGTTTTAATGAGTTTTATCTATAGATGGGATTTCGTTTCAACTGAACAGGTTATCTAGTCCACAAATATCCTCACGAGAGTCATTATTTCCTAAACCACACTAGGAGATTTCATGGACTACTTTCACGAACCACTTGACATGTTTTTTAAACAGTCTTTCTCGCCACACAAGAGTAAAACCATGGAGAAAACATATGAATCAGTCACAGATAAAGACAACATTACCCGGTGCCATATTGAATTTCAACACCAATGCCATGTTCCAAGACTTGTGTGCAAAAGAAGATTTCAAGACAATACAAAATCAGTTTCAACAAGGAAAAAACCTCTAGTAAAACACATAAAGTAACATCACATTGATCCAGGTAAGTGTTTTATAATTTTTCCTTTCCACTTCTAATTCTCTTTCTCTTGGATTTTCAGATTCTTGGACGAATCTTTTTTAGGAGAGGGAGAATGATATGTGCACCAGAGTCTATAATTATGACAACACTTGCTTCTTTGGACTAATGTTTCTACTCGAACCTATTAGAAGAACAAAGTCTCGGAGATTTAAAGAATATTTATTCCGTAAGTATAATATTAGTGAATTACTAAAAGGCTCTTGTATTACTCCAAATTTTGTTTAGTGACCAAAATGTAAGTTTTGAAAGTTTAGTGGTCAAAGTATAATAATGAGAAAAGTTTAGGGACCTAAGTGGTAATTTTCCCAAAAATATTTTTATATTCCATAAATAGATAGTTTACTCTTGAGAGTGGGGTTTTATTGAAATCAGATTCTTGGTCCAAAATTTATGTTGAAAATTAGAAAGGGTTAAAGTCCGGTAAAAAATTGGTAAATTAGGTCGAATTGAAATTCTAAGAAAATTGAAGGATGATAAATTAGGAAAAATACTATTTCCACATGTTAAAATGATGGAAAATAATATGGATCATTGGATTTGAAGATTTATTTCCATGTTTAATTTGGATCGTTGGATTAAAGTGGTGAGATTGCAATTTTTGGAAAGTTGCTTGGTAAAATTGGAAAAGGGTAAAATAATTTAGACACATAAAGTGAAAAAGAATATAGTTTGGTTCTAGAAAATATATTTTCTATTTCTATTTTATATTTTTGTTTTCAGAAAATAATTTTTGTTTTCAATTTTTTGAAAATTAGAAAACATGTTTGGTTAATATAAATGAAAACTTGGATCTAAAAATAAAATAGTAAAAATGTATTTGATATCTAATTTTTAAAATTATAAATGAATAAACAATTATTAAAAAAATTAAATTAAACTATAATTATTAAAAAATCCATTACATTAATTTAACATATGAGTTATAATTTTTAAATATATATATATATATAACAATAAAATTGATAAGAAATTTCATAACATAATTTTATTTTAGTTTATAATTAAATATAATGTTATTGAATATTGGACATCAATTAAATTTTTAAAAAAAACACAAAAATATTGTTATAAGCAAGAGCACATAACACTGCTATTAAAATAAATAAATGTTTAATGTTAATTGAAGCCTTCAACCTTTTGAGGAAAAAATAATTAGTGTAGCCACAAAGGTTTTATGCATTGAAAAAAATAATAATCTAACCCTTTCAAGAACGAAATCAAACGTTGATTGTCACGGCGTTTATATGACAGTTCACAAACTTACATAACAATCTACAATATTGATGTGACAGTTTACGATATTGTTGTGACAGTAAATTGGACTTAATTGAATTTTTTGGATAAGTTTGATGACATAATTGATTTTTTAGAAAGGTTGAGGACTTATTTGTTTATAAAAATATAAAAAAAATTAAATTAAAAATATAAAAAATTATTAAGATATTCAAGACATTAAATATAAAAAGATTACAAAATTAAATTATTAAAAAAATTAATTTGACGACTATATTGAGTGTAAAAAAAGTTTAGAGACTATATTGACTCCTTTTACAAAAATTTGAGGGTTTCATATAACATTAAGTCAAAATACTATTGTTAAAATAATTTGAATTGGTGTAAATTAAGTTAAAAATTTAAATGTTATATATTTTTTATTTTTTTAAATTTCTAAAATATACTGAGAATATCTTTTTATATTCTCATATGTTTAATTATTTTTGTTTTTGTTTTTCAAAAATTATTTTAAAATTTTACAATAAAACACATTCTCTTCAATATTTTTTATTATTTAAAAAAAAATATCCTATACATTTTAAAATCAAACGGATCCTAAAATATGCATTGACCCATTTCTGTTTTCCCACTTCAAATGGTTACCTAACGCGATCCTATAGTTGATCAAATCCGAGGGTTCATTTCGCTAAAACCCTAAACCCTGCTGTGTTGAGGTCCCCTCGCTTTCTTAGATTTCCCAAGTTTTCCAGTTCTTCATCTCCTTCAGACGGTTTTCTTCCTAATGGCTTCCATTTGCAACAGATTCATCACTAGAGCATCACCCTTCACCAAATCTGCCGTCAGATTTAACGGTCCAAAATCCCCTTTCCCCGGATCCGCCGCCGCTTCCTCCACTCCGTACCTCTCCCTTCCCGTTCCATCTCTCCTATTGGCCGTTTCTCCTCTAGGTACACCAGTTCCCGTTTTGCTTTCGATTCTCTATATTATACTTAAACATTACCAGTTTTCTGTTACTTTCTTCTGCGTCTTCTTCTGAAGTTTAACTGTTGTTCCTTTTATGGTGGCAGGTGTCCATCGGAACTGGGATGTGCACAGTCACTGTTGCCTCTACACAGTACGGTGGCGACGGCAATGATGATGTCATGCCTGAGCACAACATCGAGGAGTTGCCGATCTCAGGGTACACTCTGCTGCACCTCTCCCGGCCTCTAGTACTGTTTTATCTGTTTTCTTATAGCGAGTAGTTTTTTTTATTATTAATGTGATATTATATATCTGTGCTTTTAATTGAATTTTCTGTTTAAATAGATGGATTCTTTGCCCAATTTTTTCTATTTCGGTTATAAAGAAGTTAACTATTTTTCTTTTTATTCATTTCCCCCTGTTTTGGCTTCGTAAATGCTATCTGTGTTACAATTGTCATAGAAAGCTTTAAGGTTAATTACAGGATCATATTGATCAAAATGAGCTGATAGCTTACTAACAATTTGGTGAATGCCGTATTTATTTTCTAATTCTTCAAATTGTCATATTTTTGGAAATGCATTCCTTGTAGAAGTAAAAAGCATGTTGCAAAATCTCTATTCCTCTCTTCCTCGTTGAGATGATTATTTGCAGTAGACTGTCGATCATGCAATCGTCAGAAACCAAGGAATATTACGATTTTTTTCTAGAAAGAGAGTTATGGAAAAGATGCATAACTTTATCTTTATAGCTGTTCATAGAATTACTTGTTCAGTCATAGTGGGAGTTTTTCTTCAAGGGTGCTTGACAAAAACCCACATTGAATTGGACAGGTATTTCGCAGACCCTTAAAAACGTTTTTTTTAATAAAAAATCAGGCTTATGAGTCAAGAAGACAACCACAACCACTATATAGGAACATGTTTAAGGTACAAGCTTTCATGAATTGAACGGTCTGGTTCCAGATTATATTTTGACGCTACCTGAATATCATATCACTAATAGTTTCCATCTGATTCTTATAATAGTTAAAATTGATGTTTCATTGAATTCGGTTGGGTTTAAAGTTGAAGGAGTCTGTTCCAGTTGTAGATAACATAGCTAATTAGGAAGTAAAATTCAAAACATTTTGTGCTCAAAACTCGTGGAAGCCATCGAATCGTTGAGCTTGCCTTCTCTGAGTGAAACAAATTAGGGTCTTGGAAATGAGGCTGGCGCTTTCATAATGTATCGTAAAGATATCTGACCTGAATATTTGATTCCTGCAGGCATATAAGTTGAATAAGAGAAATAAAATGGGAATTTACTGTGACAGACTTATCCTCATTCTCAAGTCTGATATGAAACCATGAGTGCTTTTTTAGTGATCATAGTATTCAATTTTGTCAGGATAGAGCCTTAGTTTTATGGTTCTTTTTTTATAAGGCTTAGTGTAAAAATAAGTGCCCAAACTATACTCAAAGTCAACTAAAGAATTTTCGTTAAAAACAGGAGCCTAACGTTTTCTCCGTTTCACTTTTAGGTTTCTACCGTTTAAAAAAACCCGTTAAGTGACACGTGTCACGTTCAAAATGTTAAAAATGTTTTTAAATAATATTTTATTTTAAAAAAAATAAAAAATATAAACATGACACGTGTCAGTTAACGGTTTGTTAATGGTAGGTACATAAAAATGTGACAGAGAAAGCGTCAGACACCTATTTTTTTTAAAAATAAAATATTATGTAAAAACATTTAAAAAAAATATGAACATGATACGTGTCACTTAACGGTAGGCAACTAAAAATGTGACAGAGAACGTTAGACACCTATTTTTAACAAAATATTCTTTAGGCACCAAAAGTTAACTTTGGGTATAGTTTGGGCACTTATTTTTGCATGAACCTTTTTATAATATAAATCAGAGCTGCTTTTGTACTCTTTCCCATTTTTGGCAAAGAAAAGCCTCTAATAGATGTAACATGTTGCTCTCTGTTTTCCTTTTGAGATTGGAACCCTTCATCTTGCTCCTGCATTTGTGCGGTGTCTCGACTGTTTCTTCCCGCCTGTGGTAATTAGACTTTGCTTATGCTATAGACAAAAAAAAAATGACATTAAGATTTACATGTTGAATCTGCTGCTCCACTGTCTTCTCCCACCCAGCTTTTTGATGTGATCCTAGAACTGCTTCATTCTTTGCCAACTTCTTTCCCCTATCTGCTTAAACATCAGGGTGGATCGTTAACCTATCCTTAAGTGTAGCAGACGTGTTTAGATCGAGTGGTACATTCTAAATATATGGGTCAGAAATCAGGATAGGGTTAAATCATCTTTGTGGAATCCACATATTTCGGCTTAGATTTATGCACTTGAAAGAGATCCATTTATAAGTGATGTAGATCCAATGGTAACATAATTGCTCCTTTTCCCAGATGGAATTGATGGTACGTGACACATGTTGCTATTTTCGGTGGTGGACCTGCCGTCTAATCTTCATTTGAGTTTTATACACCGAACACCAATGAAACTATTTTAGATGATCTATTTATTAGAACTTTTCAAGTGTTTGTACAAACCTTCTTGAAAATCTCCGAGCTGTTCTATTAATATAAGTTTGAAACCAAATTTCTTTGATGGCATTCATACGCGACCTAATTTGTTGAGATTGGGCTGCTGCAAATGTTTGTTGATTGAGGTTAAGAGCAATTATTGTTGTTGTTATTATTATTATCACTGCTTTATTTTTCACGCTGTAGGACGATTTATGCTAATAACTATCTGATCTGAGTGCGTTCTGTGTTGCCATAGAGTTCGGTCAATCGGTTCCGAGGTGACTTGTTAAAGACTGTTCAAATGACGGAAGTATCCAACAAAGGCATGTAGATCGTTATTTGAAAACAAATGGTCATTTTTCTAACAGCAGTAAAGCTGATTTTGATTCTTACGAGTTGTGAGATTGTTTGTTCAAAAGTCTGAAATAAGTATGCTGTTGTGTTTTACGTTGATCATATATGATCTCAATAGACTTAACCGTCATGACCTTCCGATTTACTTGCTTCTTCCTGTGATTCTTTCCCCTGTTTGCTGATGTGTTTGTTAAAGTATGAATGTAACTAAGTATTGAATGAACAAAGTGAAAATAATATGCATTCTTTCATAATAGAAAAAGCTCTACTATTACAGTAAATACACACTGCCTTTATACACAAGGAGAAGAAATATAAAATGGAGGGAAAGGATGTTTGAGATAAGAGAGAGAGTTTGTTAGATCTAACAGCTCTAACCACCTCACACTCTTCACACATGCACACACGTACATGTATGAAATACATGCATACATCATACACTAACATTCCCCTTACTAATCCAATCTTCACTTTGCCAACTCCCTTACTGCATAGACACTAACATTTCCCTTACTGCTTCAAACTTCATGCTTTTAAACCTCCACATTGTAGCTGAACAATCAACGGTTTCTGCCTATGTTTCACAAACAACGGTGCTGACAATGGTTTAGTTAGAATGTCAGCAACATGTTCATATGCAGGGACCTCAAGAACCTGTAGCTTCCTTGCTGCAATCATTTCGCGAACAAAGAAAAGATCAAGTTCTACATGTTTGAATTTTGAGTGTAAAATCGGATTGGCACAAACAGCAACAGCACTTGAGTTGTCACACCATAACGTAGGTTTCCCATGAGTAACAATGTGCAGTTCACTCAACAAGGATTCAAGCCACACCATTTCAGCAGCTGCACATGTAACACTTCTATATTCTGCTTCAGCTGTTGAACGAGCTACAACTTGTTTTCTTGAACTCCATGCAACTAGATTTCCCCTAAAGTAAATACAATACCCAGATGTAGATCGTCTATCATCAACATATGTTCCCCAACTCGCATCAGCAAAGCATGTCAAAGACAATCTAGAAGAGGCCAAGAAATGCAAACCAAAATCAATCGTTCCTTGCAAATACCGTAAGATGCGTTTCACTGCTAGAAAATGAGTTTCAAGAGGAGCTTGCATAAATTGGCACACACGATTAACAACAAATGTAATGTCTGGACGAGTGATCACAACATATTGTAATGTTCCCGCAATGCTGCGATATTGTGAAACATTCTCAACAGGATTTCCATCCTTGGCAGAAAGCTTACAGTTGGTAACCATAGGTGTAGGAAGACCATTTGCATTTTGAAAACCATTGCGACATAATAACTCAGTTATATATTTCTGCTGACTCAAAACAACACCACCAAAATCATAACTGACTTCAATGCCTAAGAAATAACTGAGAGAACCCAGATCTTTTAAGGCAAAATTTTCATGCAGTTTGTCAATGACCACATGCACCTCACTTGTTTTATCACCAGTGAGTATTATATCATCAACATAGACAAGTAGATAAATCAAACAATCTTCCTTCTTTCGAACAAAAAGAGAAGAATCAGATTTTGATACCACAAATCCTTCAATTTCAAGATAGCTTCTCAGGCTATCAAACCAAGCACGTGGTGCTTGTTTTAATCCATAAATGGCCTTATGTAATTTGCAAGCCAATTGATTACCACCAAACTCAAATCCTGGAGGTTGAGTCATATAAATTTCTTCTTCAAGCACACCATTTAGGAAAGCATTGTTAATGTCTACCTGTCTAAGCTGTCATCCTTTCGATAACGCCAAAGTCATAATAACTCGAACAGTTACTGGTTTAACATCCGGACTAAATACCTCATGAAAATCAATACCTGGCTGCTGAAGAAAACCTTTTGCCATTAATCTTGCCTTATAACGAGCAATTGAGCCATCTGCATTTTTCTTTATTTTGAACAACCATTTACAAGCTACTGCTCTTCTATCAGGTGGCAGATGCACGAGGGACCAGGTTTTATTTCTCATCAAAGCTTCATACTCCTCCTGAACTGCAGTTTTCCAATGCGGACTAGTTAAAGCTTGCTTGATGTTATGTAGTTCTTCATTAGTCCAAGCTATAGCTTGAAAAATTTTAGGCTTCGAAATCCCACTCTTACTCCTTGTTTGCATTGGATGAACATTTAAGGTAGAGTTGCATTCAACTTCAGCAGCTGGTTGACTAGGAATATTAGTAGGAACAGCAGTAGAGCTTGACACTGATTGTGTAGTTCCTAAACTATTTCCTTCATGAACACGAGAACTACCAGCTCCTTCCTCATTGTGCACACTATTCGCAGGTGATACACCATTTCCAGCCATACCATAATCACCACATCCTTGTTGAGTTTGAACTTGTGGTGCAAAAACAAGTGGCAGCTCCCTCGTTGAAACGTGTGAATCTGCCCGATCATGACTCTTTAACCTGCAAGCTTCATACAGAAATTTTCCCTCATAAAAAATTACATGTCTGGAAATAAACATTCTCCCATCATCATCTAGACAACGATACCCCTTGTGTGATGGACTGTACCCCAGAAAAATACACTGCTTAGAACGATACTCAAGTTTATTGTGATTAAACGGTCTTACTAAAGGAAAACATGCACAACCAAACACCCTTAACATTGAATAATCAATAGGTTGTTGATGTAAGACTTCAAAAGGTGACTTTCCATGTAATACTCCTGTAGGTAATCGATTAATAAAAAACACATCTAAGGTAAATGCATAACTCCAGAATTTCAAAGGCAATAAGGCTTGAGATAGTAATACCAACCCCATTTCAACAATATGACGGTGTTTTCGTTTAGCTTTGCCATTTTGCCTAGATGTACTTGGACAATAGATTCGATGTTGAACTCTATTAGCTAGAAACCATCCTTTCAGCGCCTGATACTCTCCACCACCATCACTCTGTAATATCTTAATCTTCACACCAAACTGAACCTCAACAAGTTTATAAAAATTGAGGAAACATTCCATAACTTTTGACTTTCTCTTAATCAAATAGAGCCATGTAAATCTGTTGTAAACATCAATAAAGGACACATAATAGGCAAAACCATCACTTGAAACAATAGGGGTTGGTCCCCAAACATCAGAGACAACTAATTGGAAATGAGCAGTGTACTCAGTAATTGAAGTCGAAAAAAGGGAGCTTGTGAGCTTTACTTTGCAAACAAGCATTGCAAACAGAAGATAAAGTGCTTTCATTGACAACAATATTACATGATTTCATTACTATTTTAACCACACTAAGAGATGTATGTCCTAATCTTTTGTGCCATGGGTCTAACAGGCCACATGACTTAGAGACATTATTTAATTGCATGTGCTTTATATTAGGTGACAGAAGCTGGTATAAACCGTCATCTGTGAGCTTCCCTGTCAGTAACACGGTCTGCGTCCGAGCATCCTTCACGAAACATTCAAAAGGATGAAATTCAATAAAGACATTATCCCGAGTAAACTGAGAAACAAATAATAAGTTTTTCTGAATATCATGCACATGCAAGACATTTTGCAAAACTAATGGCTTCGTTTTAGAGGGCAAACAACTTTGACCAACATGAGAAATTTTAACACCTTCTCCATTCCCCATATGAAGACAATGATTACCTGCATAAGCCATACTAGTATTAAGAAGGGACTCATCATTAGCAACATGATGTGTTGCCCCCGTATCAGGATACCACACTGGATCAATATTACCAGTGGACATAGCTGGCCGAGGTGAGTGAGAAGTGGAAACAAAGGCAACTGATGGATACACAAATCCTTGGGAATTTTTAACCGAACCTAACCCACCATAAACTTGCATTGGAGAGTACCATGGAACCCCTGGATAAAAAGATCCTGAACTAGGCATCATGAAATGCGGATTAGAATAAAAGAATCCATGAGGAGAAGGAAAAGATGCACTCATCGAGGGAAAAGATGCACCCATCGCATGAGTAAATGCTTGAGCATTCGAAGGTAATTGCTGCTTGTTTCCAGAACTTTGTGATGACCTCCACTCTTCACTACTTCGAGCATCAGTGGAGATACTAGTAAAGTTTCTATCAAAGCGATGATAGCATTTTTGCACTATATGGCCAAATTTACCACAAAGCTGGCATTTAGGACGATTCGAATTATCAAACCGTCCTTGACCACGTCCACGATAAGTATCACCCGGTTGTCCTCGCGTAGCATCATCTTGCTTTGCAGTAACAGTAACCTCAGAAGATCCAAAATCACGCTCCTTAGTATCAGTAGACCTAGAGACCAGGTTAGCTGAAATTCCTTCAGTGAGAAAAGCCTTATGTCGCGTCTCACAATCAAGCATCATTTCAGTGAGCACATCTAACGACAAACTATCGCGAGAAGCAATAGCAATAACATATTCAAATTCCATGGACAGACCAGCAAGAATGACACTGACTTGCTCGTGTTCAGTAATTGGACTACCTGCAGCACATAACAAATCACAAATGGACTTGACTTTGGCAAGAAACTCACTCATTGTCTGGCCAGCTTTGCACTGAGAGTGAAGACTATGTCGAAGGGATGATATCTTGGCACTAGATCTAGCACCAAATAATCGAGCAATAGTGGTCCAAATAGCATAAGCAGAGGTGAGTCCAATAAGATGAGGTAATATTTCAGTACTAACCGTAGTGAGCAACCACGATGCTAACAGCTTATCTTGTTGCTGATAGAGATTGAACGTCGGAGTATCCGCAGCATGACCTGATTCCGTTGTTGTAACAGCCACAGGAGGCTCTCCTTCATCCGAAATAAAATGAAGCAAACCATAACCATCAATAATGAGAGATACTTGATGCTTCCATAGTAAATAGGTACCCTCAGAAAGTTTAACCACATCCTGTTTGGGTATGTGCTGCACGGAGGAGATCTCCATCATACACAACCACACGCAGCAGTAGACTAACGACGCTGGAGCTCCCAACCCTTGGCGACTGATACCATGTTAAAGTATGAATGTAATTAAGTATTGAATGAACAAAGTGAAAATAATATGCATTCTTTCATAATAGAAAAAGCTCTACTATTACAGTAAATACACACTGCCTTTATACACAAGGAGAAAAAATATAAAATGGAGGGAAAGGATGTTTGAGATGAGAGAGAGAGTTTGTTAGATCTAAC